CGCTGTGTAAAACTGTCTTACACTCGTTGTATGTGAACGTAAGAATCCATCACACCCGATCATCACGTGGTGCTTAGAAACGACGAACTGTAGCAACGGTGCACAGTTAGGGGAGAACACTTCTTGAAATTTTATAAGGGATCATCTTATTTACTACCGTCGTCCTAAGTAAACAAGATGCATAATACATAATAAACATCACATGCAATTATATAGTTGTGACATGATATGGCCAATATCATATAGCTCCATTGATCTTCATCTTCGGGGCTCCATGATCATCTTGTCACCGGCTTGACACCATGATCTCCATCATCATGATCTCCATCATCGTGTCTTCATGAAGTTGTCACGCCAACGACTACTTCTACTTCTATGACTAACGTTTAGCAATAAAGTAAAGTAGTTTACATGACGTTTATTCAATGACACGCAGGTCATACAAAAGAATAATGACAACTCCTATGGCTCCTGCTGGTTGTCATACTCATCGACATGCAAGTCGTGAATCCTATTACAAAGAACATGATCTCATACATCACAATTCATCATTCATCACAACTTCTGGCCATATCACATCACAGGATCAATCGCTGCAAAAACAAGTTAGACGTCCTCTAATTGTTGTTGCATCTTTTACGTGGCTGCAATTGGGTTCTAGCAAGAACGTTTTCTTACCTACGAATCACCACAATGTGATTTTGTCAACTTCTATTTACCCTTCATAAGGGCCCTGTTCATCGATTCCGCTCCAACTAAGGTGGGAGAGACAGACACCCGCCAGCCACCTTATGCAACTTGTGCATGTCAGTCGGTGGAACCGGTCTCACGTAAGTGTACGTGTAAGGTTGGTCCGGGCCGCTTCATCCCACAATACCGTTGAGCAAGAAAAGACTAGTAGAGGCAAGTAAGATGACAAAATCCACGCCCACAACAAAGTTGTGTTCTACTCGTGCAAAGAGAACTACGCATAGACCTAGCTCATGATGCCACTGTTGGGGAATGTTGCAGAAAATTAAAATTTTTCCTACGGTTTCACCAAGATCCATCTATGAGTTCATCTAAGCAACGAGTCTAGGGAGAGAGTTTGCATCTACATACCACTTGTAGATCGCGTGCGGAAGCTTGCAAGGTGATGATGTAGTCGTACTCGACGTGATCCAAATCACCGATGACCTGCGCCGAACGGACGGCACCTCCGCGTTCAACACACGTACGGAACAGCCACGTCTCCTCTTCTTGATCCAGCAAGGGAGGGAGGAGAGGTTGAGGGAGATGGCACCAGCAGCAGCACGACGGCGTGGTGTTGATGGAGCTGCAGTACTCCGGCAGAGCTTCACTAAGCACTATGGAGGTGGATGAGGTGTTGGGGAGGGAGAAGGAGGCAACCAAAGGCCAAGACGTTCAGGTATGAAGTCCCTCCTCTCCCCCACTATATATAGGGGTGCCAAGGGGGGGTGGCCGGCCCTAGGAGATCCAATCTCCTAGGGGGTGCGGCGGCCAAGGGGGGTTTTCCCTCCCCCCAAGGCACCTAGGAGGTGCCTTACCCTCCTAGGACTCTTGCCCCCTTGAACCCTAGGCGCATGGGCCTATGTGGGGCTGGTGCCCTTGGCCCATTAGGCCAAGGCGCACCCCCTTACAGCCCATGTGGCCCCCCGGGGCAGGTGGACCCACCCGGTGGACCCCCGGGACCCTTCCGGTGGTCCCGGTACAATACCGATAACCCCGAAACTTGTCCCGATGCCCGAAACAGGACTTCCCATATATAAATCTTTACCTCCGGACCATTCCGGAACTCCTCGTGACGTCCGGGATCTCATCCGGGACTCCGAACAACATTCGGGTTACTGCATATACATATCCCTACAACCCTAGCGTAACCGAACCTTAAGTGTGTAGACCCTACGGGTTCGGGAGACAAGCAGACATGACCGAGACGCTCTTAGTCAATAACCATCAGCGGGATCTGGATACCCATGATGGCTCCCACATGCTCCTCGATGTTGTCATCGGATGAACCACTATGTCGAGGATTCGATCAAACCCTGTATGCAATTCCCTTTGTCAATCGGTACGTTACTTGCCCGAGACTCGATCGTCGGTATCCCAATACCTTGTTCAGTCTCGTTACCGGCAAGTCACTTTACTCGTACTGTAATGCATGATCCCATGTCCAACACCTTGGTCACATTGAGCTCAATATGATGATGCATTACCGAGTGGGCCCAGAGATACCTCTCCGTCATACGGAGTGACAAATCCCAGTCTCGATCCGTGTCAACCCAACAGCTACTTTCGGAGATACCTGTAATGCACCTTTATAGTCACCCAGTTACGTTGTGACGTTTGGTATACCCAAGGCACTCTTACGGTATCCGGGAGTTACACGATCTCATGGTCGTAGGAAGAGATACTTGACACTTGCAAAGCTCTAGCAAAACGAACTACACGATCTTTTATGCTATGCTTAGGATTGGGTCTTGTCCATCACATCATTCTCCTAATGATGTGATCCCGTTATCAACGACATCCAATGTCCATAGTCAGGAAACCATGACTATCTGTTGATCACAACGAGCTGGTCAACTAGAGGCTTACCAGGGACATTGTGTGGTCTAAGTATTCACACGTGTATTACGATTTCCGGATAATACAGTTATAGCATGAATAAAAGACAATTATCATGAACAATGGAATATAATAATACTTTTATTATTGCCTCTAGGGCATATTTCCAACAGCGCACCATCGATAAGCTTACATGGTAACCAATCACCTAGTTTTGTTTGTTTTCTTGATTTTCATTTTAAACATGTTTTCCCAGGAAAATAATTTGTTTGATGTTGTGGTATTTTTCCAATCTAATATTTGGCATAAAAACATCATGAGTTGTGCTTCGATACCCCCCCCCCCTCAGCATATTAGCTTTTCATGAATCAAAAAGTTATTTTAAAAGCCTATCACCATATTAGCTTGCACATCAAGCATATTGAGCAGATTGATTTGGATTTAAAAACACTACATTATCCTTTTTAATTAAAGGGGTGCCTTGCAATCTCCACCTTTAATATGCATAGGAAATTCGTAAACTTTCTTTGGGGGGGTCCCATGCTCAACCGTCTCGTCATCGTGGTCGAGGGGAAAACACACAATGGACAAAGATGTGAATCATATGCGATAAAACTAGCAAAATGAAGGGAAACAAGAAACATTGTTGCCAAACACAATATAAATCACAGTTGATTTGCTTTGTAACCCCTAGGTCGGAGACTACCAAGAAACTGGCCACACGCTAACAACAACTACCCAATGGTGAGGTGGAGTAGAACCTAGTCTTCGATGTGACACCTCCAACAAGGAATACGTATCCTATCATCTTGCATCATCAACGGTAGATTGAACCAGTAAGGCAGAGTGTTGGGTTTTCCTCCAAGTAGTATGTAACATCAATGTGTAACAGTGCACCACAACAATATAATCAGGCAAGGAACACCGCATAACATCATTGTCGTCGGGTCCAAATAGCTAGGCCTAGGATTTTGCATTGGGTAGTTGATACAAAAGATGTCGAGTGAGCTCTCGAGACGCCATTGTAATCGGATCTAGATAGCCATGCCTAGATTTTTCACCCTAGATAATCGAGACATAAGCTACCCATTGAGCCCTCAATACGCCACCATTGTCGGATCTAGTCAATGACTATACCACCAAGTCATGTTTCACCACCATCGCGACTGATCCTCATTACCACCACCACTCCTAAGATCTGCCTAGAGGATCAATGTCGTCCGCGAGACAAAAATTTAAGATTGAGAGTGGCAAAGGTGTCATGTAATGTTAGCGTGGGCCAAGCTGGCCAAATCTAACTAATTCTCTCTCACATAAGAGGATTAGCAAGAAGATATACATGCATTTGTGAGAGAATGGGGGAGCTACAGCGCCATCCAGTCCCCTGACTCCGCCCTTGGTAGAGATATCTACTCCCTCCATCCCTAAATACTTGTCGGGGAGATGAATAAAATTGAATGTATCTATAACTAAAATACGTCTAGATACATTCATTTCTTCAACAAGTATTTTTGGACAGAAGGAGTACTACCAAACGGCTACCGTAGACGACGGCGGAAGTAGACACCTAAGCAACCGCCAAAACGGCGTCCCGAAGGGTCTTGGGAGGCCACCATTGGATTCTTACAAGCAGGCCGAAGTCTCGGATCAGTCGCCCCACACACCATGCCTCCAGTCTCCAGAGGAGAGGCGGACACAAGGGCGCGCGGCAGAACGAGGAACGAGATCGAGCAGGAAGGCGGTTTTCCAACGTACGGATAGCTTAGCCCCTGGTCACGAACGTGCATCTAACAAGTGCTGCTACAAGTACCACAACAAAGCGGGCTAGCGAGCGCGTTATACCAAACCCGCGGTGGCGGGCGATGAAACGCACATCGCATCTCGCATATAGGCTTAGCTCCTAATGCAAGTCACTTGGCCCTGCCTGCCTCCGACGTCCCCCAAAAATTGTTTGTTTACTGCTCAGCTCTCGCCTCGGCGCCTGTCGTAGGAGTAATAATTACTCGGAGATTACTTGCTTGCTAACCATGCCCATCGCGTCCGTCCCATCTTCTCTTTTCTAGATCACGTTGGACCCCATGCACGTATGCCCTCCCCATGATATGATATGAAAATCTCTCCGCCACCTTTATGGGCCGAGCCGGGCTATAAACTTCGGCTTCTCCCAAACCATCTTGGCTTTGATCTCTCCACCTAGCCATCTCCCACACCACTTTCCTCTCTCTGGAGCAAAGTGCTCCGAGCAGCCAGCCAGTGGGTGCCTGCCATCGCGGTTGGTTGGCTTCCTTCCTTAGCCAAAGCCACCAGACCGCCCCAAAGCAGAAAAGCTAGCTTCTCCACCGTACGCGCGCCTCTAGAGCAAGCAAGCATACACATCATCATATCAGTGGTCGATCTGCCATCTGCATCGTCGTCGTCGTCGACGCAGATAGATGCGTAATGGGAGCAGCTCATCTTGCTCTTCTTCTCCGGTGGGGTTGCACCTGCAGCAAGTGTTTGGCTCGCAGGCTCCTCATGGCCGGCAGCTTGGTAGCAGCTCCTCCTACTGCCCTCGTCCCATGGCGGAGCTGCTGCAGGTGACGTGGCTGCCCGCGTCCGGCGGTGGCGGCCCCGGCGGTCTCCTCCACGCCTTGGCCTCTCTCAGCTTTCTGCTCCTCCTCGCCTACCTCTCGCTCTTCCTCCTCGCCAAGCTCTTCGCCCGACTCCACCGCGCAAGGTAATTAGGGCGTAGTGTGCAGTAGTAGGATGCTTACTGACTAAGTAACTATTGCTCCTTCAATTCAGCCATGCATGTTCACGAATTTCTGCTCACTTCTTCTGCGTACGTGCATGTGTGCAGGGAGCGCCGTGGCCGTGACAACCGTGCGGAGAGTAACCCCGGGAAGGAGGACGTGGCCGCCGCCGACGACATCCACCTCGCCGGAGGGGAGCGGCAGGCGGGGGGCACGCTGTTCTGGTTCGACGAGGCCGTGTTCGAGGACACCGCCCTGCTTGGCCTTGGCGACGAAGCAAAGAATCACCTTTTGTACACTGGTGCTGGTGGTACGGCTGCGCAACATTGCTTGGAGGTGGCGGAGACCAGCTGCGCCTTTCACACGGCCCCGCCGGAATCCACCAACCGCGTCTCATTCGCGCCGCGCGAGGAGGAGGACCACCGCGCCGAAAGTGATGCCGCCACTGCCGGTGCCACCGCCACCGCGGCCCAGGAGCAGGAAGAGGCCAGGGTTGACGTGGCCGTCTCCGTAGCCGACGACGGCGTCCCCATGGCGGCTGATGGGTATCGGCAGAATGGTCCGGTCGCCGCGTCGTCGTCACTACCGAAGAATGATTCCGTTCAAGGCAATCTCCTAGGTAGCTAGATTCCATTCCGTTCGTATCCTCGCTCACTTCTTTTTCACCGGTCACTTCTCAGCTTGATCTTACACTGCTTGTCATCCAACTCTACGGTTGCAGAGAGGCAACGAAGCAGAGGAGGAGGAGAAGGTCGCCGCGACGGTGATCATCGTGAAGACGGGCATGGAGTAGAAGAAGAGCCGGGGGAGGAGGAGGAGAAGGCCGCGGGCTTTCCGGACGTGAAGCGGCTGGTGAACAGCCACGCGCTGGCCGACACGAAGAAGCTGCAGCTGGACGGCGGCGCGCGGCTGCGGCCGCGGCGAGAGGAGGAGGACGGGGACAGCTGCCGGTTCGGCGCGTCGACGCTGACGAGCGAGTCGACGTCCAAGAGCTCGGTGGAGTGGCAGAGCTCGACGGTGACGACCGGCAAGGACGCCTACTCGGACCTCTTCTCGTCGTCGTCGCGCCGGAGCTCGGCGAGGTGGGAGTCCTACACGCTCTTCCGCAAGTACGACGAGGACATGGTCTACTTCCACCGCGTCGGCGCCCAGAAGCTCACCGAGACAGGTATGCACCTACACCAGATTGTTTACTGCCAAATTGATTGTACCTAGGAAAACTGATGAATTTGCTCATCATCATCATCACCAAATATTCCCCAATTATCATCATCACCTCTACTAGATCAACTTTTGTTGCAAACAAGCTCCGGTCGCCCGTATTTCCAGTTCTTTGCGACGCTTTTCAGGGGCATGTGTGGGCTCAATGGAGAATTCTTATTACACGTTCCCAATAGAACAAATCATTACATGTTCCTCCACGCACGTTATCTAGTCCTAGTACTACAAATCTAGCTAACACATTATTGTACGAACAATGTTCCATTTTTAATTTGTGTTCTTGCTGCCGGCTGAAGAATTATGGACGATGATGACGTCGATGCATGTGTGTTGTGCATGCAGAGTCGTTCAGGTCGATCAAGTGCCAGCCGCGGTCGATGTCGCAGCGGATCACGCACAAGCTGTCCATGGCGGCGCCGAGGCCGAGGCCCGCGTCGGCGGAGGCGCCGGCGATAGGGCTGCGCGACCCGTACCCGGAGCTGGAGCGGGTGTACGTGGCCCAGATCTGCCTCACTTGGGAGGCCCTCAACTGGAACTACACCACCTTCCGCCGCCACAACGGCGGCGTCGTCGGCGGCACCATGATGCTGGAGGAGCGGTGCTGCCCGGCGCGCGTGGCGCAGGAGTTCCAGCAGTTCCAGGTGCTGCTCTACCGGTTCATGGAGAACGAGCCCTTCGAGCACGGTCGCCGGCCCGAGGTGTACGCCCGGATGAAGAACTCCTCCCCGAAGCTGCTCCTCGTCCCAGAGTTCAGAGGTACTACCATTGATCTGCCATGTTGTAAACGTAATCTTGTATACTGAATACTAATTCAAAATTAATTTGTTTGTGATTAATTAACTTGGTTAATGTGCACAGAGGAGGAGGACGAGAAGGACGACCTGATATCGGCGGTGCAGTTCCTGCACATCCTGGAGGAGTCCATCCGGACGTTCATGGCGTTCCTCCGCGCCGACAAGCGTAGCCACTACCAGATGTTCAGGGAGATGGTCCGGCGGAGGACGAGCGCCGCCGACCAGTCGATCGTCATCACCCTCAAGAGAACCAACAAGGCCGTGAGTGATCCGACGAATTTCTTACGTACGTGCAAGCAATGTTCATGCATTCTGAAAGTTTTTGTGTGGATCAGAAGAAGAGCCGTCTCAAGGACCTGAGCCGGCCGCGGCGGTGCCTGAAGCGGATCAAGCTGCGGGAGCAGGAGGAGGTGGCGGTGCTGCTGGGGCTCATCGACCTCAAGGTGGTGGCCCGGGTGCTGCGCATGCCGGAGATCACGGAGCAGCAGCTGCACTGGTGCGAGGAGAAGATGGGCCGGCTCCGTGTCGACCCGCAGCAGGGCACCATGGAGCGAGACCCCTCACCCCTCTTCTTCCCCGCGCACTGAGATCTCATCAGAACCTCCATAGATCCATCCATGGACACTCTTTTGACTGTAACCCTACTTTTCCTTTTGTTTATTTCGTTCACCTTATCTTCCCTTTCTCTTTTTATTGTTGTAGCGACAAAAGAAAAGATAAAGCTGTAGTGTTTGCGTAGACACGAGAATATGCATGCAACGCACTCGGCCTCTAGCTAGCTACTAGTAGCAGTAGTACAATATACTACGTACTGTGTATAAAAAGAAGCGAGATCGATCGGATTCATCTCGAGATGGGATGACGACGGTGTTGTAAAGGCGTAATGTACACCTATCTGTAGAAAAAATAAGATGAGATCGGCCCGGTTCCGTCTTGTAGTTGGGCGCATGTGATGTGGTGCATGCTGACATACGCACACAGAGATACCAAAAGAGAGAGATATTGGGATCGGCGGGCGGCAGTACCATGTCACCGTGTGTGCGTGACACAACCCAAAGCAAAAGTGGGCGGGCTAGCTGAGGTGGTGACAAGCACGGCCGGCTTTGATAGTTTGATATGTGCATCGCTTTAGGCTTTGCTTTCCTCATGTGTTCCTCGGCTTTACGGACGGATGGATCGGTCACGAGAAGGTGCATGCATGCATGCGCGGCTGCCGCCAGCAAATGCATGTCACGCACTTGGGTTTGCCTCTGCATTTAAGGATGTATAGCCACATCACCCTCCTTTTCCTTTTTCTTGCACTATTTGGCTTTGTCATGTAGAAAAAGCGGTCTCGCCCGCACACTTTATCTTGGATCCTCTGCGTATATGTCTGCGAAAAAGCTATGTATATGCGCGGTTGGAAGAGCTATGGCCAGTCGGAAGATGGCAGCAACAAAAGGAGGCATCTGTTCATGTAGTATCTCCTCGTTGATTGTGGGTTGCAGATTTTTTGTTTCGAGAGGGTGTCGATGTTGGAGCAACTGGCGACCCATTTCATCCGTGGCCCGTTCGTTTGGATGGACGCAGATAAAAAAGTCAGTCCAACGCGTCGATTTAAATGGACGCGTGTATGCTTTCGTCCGCCTGCCGATTTATTCTCGGTCCATTTTTTAGCCTGATTTGCGTCGACGCGGACACGCGACGGACGCGCACGCTCGCCCTCTTTTCTCACCAGGCCCGTTGGTCGGTGGCACATTGGATTGGTCTTTCCACATCAAACAGCACACGCTCGCCCGCCTGCTTCGTCGCCGACGCCGCCGGCCATTTTTTCAGATAAAAATGGATACATATATAGTTCTAGCGTACACAGATAAAAGAAAAGACCACTACTCGTTGCTTTCTGACTCCGACTCGGCAATGTCCTCCTTCAACGTCTGAATGTAGGCGTCAGCATGCTGCTCGTCTTCAAAGTCCCAACCCGACGTTTCTCGTAGCTTCAGTTTCAATTGAGCGGCCTGCTTTCGCGAACGCTTGTCCTCCCGATAGGCGACTCGCCCCGTCCTCCTCGCGTCCCTCTCCAACCTTGTTTGCTTGTAGAACTGGCGCTCGTCGATGATGTCCTGCGGGAAGCGTTCGTGCCACACCACCATGGCTTCCACGTCCATCTTGGCGATGGCGAGGCGACGCTGCTGTCTCCGATGGACACGACGATCCTCGTCAGTGAAAAGCCGCGGGAGAGGCGCTAGATCCTGCGCCCACTGGCTCGACACGTTGTGAAAATTCATATCCCGACGAGGCCTCAGGAGGCGCCACGCCGCCGCGTCGTGTGCGCGGCCGTCTCCTCTGCGGTGTTGAAGGTGCCAAGGATGAGACGTTTCTTGCGAAACCAGATTTCAGAGGAGAAGGCGCCGGAGCGGCGCTCGCGGACTCCGCGAAAATCCGAAGCGCCCAGGCGGCGGATCGACATGGTGGCACAGAGGCGGCGAGACTAGTGAGAGGGGGCGAGACGAGTGGGCGGCGGACAGAGTGTGGAGGGAGCACCTTCTTATAACGAGCGCCGGCCGCGACGCGCGCGAACCTTTCCCGCGCGCTGGAGCGCCAAAACCAGCGTGCACTAGACCGCTTTCCCCCCGCGCGCAAACCTTTCCCGCACGCTGGAGCGCCAAAACCAGGATGACGACATGGCCGGTAGCATGATCTAAAACGCGCGCGATCATCAAATGAGTCGGCCTGTTGAACGCACTGCCGACCCAAAACTAAAAAAGGACGGACGGCGGATGGACAGCCAACCTAAACGAACAAAAAACAGACAAAAACATCATCTATTTAGGTCCGTCCGTTGAAGTTGCTCTTGGTGCTAATAAACATTAGTGGTAGGGACCAAACCAGGCATGGTGATCTTGCTTTCCGAGAAGGATTAGCACGGTCACAAAGTGGTTCTTCCCTGTTAACGGGTCAAAAGGAATAGGGGGGAGAACTCATGCTGACAATAGGGATTACCCAGCGGGGTATTGATTCATATCCACGCCCCCAGCCTCCCCTGCTCATCCCCGTGCATGTCCCTACCCAAGTCCTTGGCCAAGGCTATGCGTAGTAAAGCTGTGTAGAACCTCGACAACCAAGGTATAACGTCTCTACTCAAATCCTTTTTTATCTTTTCCCACTACAACCATCGTTTCTAAACTGAATAATGTGGGTGTTAGTTTAAAAATATAATAAGAAGGATATTTTTGTTTCCACAAACGCTTTGAGACATTTGGAATATGACTGATTAAAGATTACTGCACGAGTTTCTAGCAAATCTCTTGCCTCACATCTAGATGGGGAGGTGCTGCATGCCACATCAGATGGCCAGCTGCTCTCTCATTTAGTAGGAGAGGTTTCAGATGTGGAATTGGTTGAACCTGAGTTTAGCTCATTGGTAGAGCTTACAGCTTCTGGACATAAATCAAAGACCGCCCGTTTGAAAAAGAGTCGTAAGTCCTCTAAAAGGGCAAAATTTTCTAAATCTCCTATTGTTTCCTCATGAATGATATGTTTTTTAATAGCAGAGGTCTTGGTGACTTGACTAAACATCTTCATTATAGACTGTAATAGGCAGTATAGACTTTTTAGCTATCTCTAAAATGGGGACACGTGATTTTCTTGGTAAGTCTGCTTAACCTCCTTTCTGGTGGGATAGACTTCACTTGGATTTCACGGCCGCCTAGCTAGAGGTCATTCCGGTGGCATTTTAATTGGTGTGAACACATGAACTATGTATGTTTGGGCTAGTTCAGATGGTCAATTTCACATTAAACTCCATATCCGCGACAAAGCCGACAACTTCACATGGACTATCGTCGCCGTGTATGGTATTGCCCAGGATGAGTTCAGGGCTGATTTTCTCCATGAACTGGTTAACCTATCGAAAGATAATCCATACCTATTCTTATATGTGGTGATTTCAATTTGCTATGATTCCCACACGAGAAAAGCCGTGATAGGTTTGATAATCATTGGCCTTTCCTTTTCAACGTTGTCATCGACAGTCTAGATCTGTGACCGTTTTCCTTGATTGGAAGATAGTTTACTTGGGTGAACAGTCTTCTGGAGTCGACACACGAGAAACAAAATCGCATGTTAATGGATACCGATGGGAATCAAAATTCCCTATGGTTTTTTAAATGCTCTACGTCGAGTCGAATATCTATTAGACCACGCACCCATCCTCCTAAGTACTGGTTTGCCACACCCACAGCATAAACGCAAGTGCAAGTTCGAACTTGGTTGGCTGCATCGGGATGGATTCCATGACATGGTTAAGGAGGTGTGGGAGAAACCGGTTGTCGGGCATACCCCAATACATAAATGGAATAACAAAGTGCTTGCACTACGTAAATTCCTTGGTGGATGGGCTAGGCATACTGCGGGTGTCCTAAAAAAGAGAAGTTTCATCTTTCATCTATTATTGATGATTTAGAAGCTTTGGCAGAGGTCAGACCGCTATTTGTGCATGAAATTGAGATCAAGAGTCAATCCAATGCATAGATAGCTCGCATGCTGCATGAAGAGGAGCTCAAATTGTACCAACATCCTAACTCTCAATTTATGCTAAAAGGAGATTCGAATACTAGATATTTTCAAGGTGCCGCCAATGGTAGACACCAGAAGAAACTTATTCATTCCCTACAACAGGCTGAGGGCACGATTGAGGGGAATGAGCAACTTAAATCTTATATCACTAATTATTATAAAAATATGTTCGGAGCCTCAGAAGAAGAAAACTTCTCGATGGATGAGTCCAGAACAGATGACATCCCTTGGGTCTCTGATGTGAAAAATAGCCTTCTAATAGCTCCATATTCTGAGGAGGAAGTTAGAAAAGTGGTTTTCCTAATGGAGCACAACAAAGCCCCGGGTCCTAATGGTTTTCCCGCAGAGTTCTATCAGAACTTCTGGAAAGTCATCAAACCGGATCTACTGGATTTGTTTGGCAACCTACATGCTGACCAACTAGAATTGTTTCGCTTAATCTTTAGAGATATTATTTTATTACCTAGGGTTAATGAGGTTGAAAGGATACAACAATATAGACCTATCTGCCTCCTAATGCTAGTTTTAAAATCTTCACGAAGTTTGCGACAGTTCACTGGTAGAAAAAGGGCCTATAGTCCCGGTTCGTAAGGGCCTTTAGTCCCGGTTCCGGAACCGGGACTAAAGTGTCGGTACTAATACCTCCCCCCTTTAGTCCCGGTTCAATCTAGAACCGGGACTAAAGGCCCTCCACGTGGGCAGTGCGCAGAGCCCAGTCAGGAGACCCTTTGGTCCCGGTTGCTGGCACCAACCGGGACCAATAGGCATCCACGCGTCAGGATTTCTGTGGCTGGGGTTTCTGTTTTTTTTGAAAGGGGGGGGGGGGTTGGGGGTTTTGGGGGGTTAATTTAGGTGTTTCATATATTGTGTTAGCTAGCTATAATTAATAGAGAGAAGTGTCCTCTCTTATGTCCGTGCTTGGTCGACGCTACGTACTATACATACGTATAGAGAGGAGTAGACACGCTAGCTAGCTAGTAAGCAAACGAAGGAAACAGAAGATCGTCATGAACATATATGCATACAGAGA